TAAATACTAATTTGTAAGTTATACCATAATATTTTTTATATATTTTATTTGTTAAATTATATAACACAAATTATTTTCTTGTAAAAAATTCTGATATTAAATACTATTTATAATTTTGCAATAATAAAATAAAATAATGCAAATCAAATAAAGTAATTTAGCACTTGTGACCTCATAGTACAAATGGAAAATTTCCGAAATAAATGCTAATGGAATTAACGTAAGATCACTTCGTACTTGGATGGTTCATTAATACTTGGATCTACTCTTCTTTGTTTATTGTTCCGTAAGGTCCTCGCTAAAGATCCTGAATGGATCCGAGTCATCAAACACAAAGCATTTGGAGCACATTATCAATGTTTCTTTTCTCTAGAATGATATCGCTATAGAAGGATTTGATAATTACTTTGATTTTATGCTTAGTAAAAGCGTCACGATGTCACGCGATCATGTGGCACAGAAACATTCAGCTCTGATTAAGATCTCAGGTCTCCCAGTAATGGGAAAACTGCCTTGTCCGCGAGGTAGCGAGTAAAGGCATTTTCAACCCTCCGTTTATCAACTGTTATAGAGGTCAATTAACACGACAAGGAGAGTGTATATATAACTCGATTTCCTTGCAATTCCAACCATTTTTCAAGCGACAACACCTGAAAAGATATTTACAAACGTGCAAATTGATGCCATGCCGGATAAACACTGCTAACGTTGTCAATAAGCTGCTTGATGAATTGCTGGGCTCTTCCGAAATGGGGATTATTATAATATTTGATCATTGACGAGACAAACATGTTCGGACGAATGCGAGACAATACAACCACTTCCACGCAGCGTTTACCTCTTCCATTCATTCTTTTAAACTGGATCAAGCATGGTAAGTTTATTTGGTGGTCGTACCTGGCAGGTATACCTTTCTTTAATCTTATCATTTGTTGCATCCCACATGTAAGGATCCTACACTAATACGTATTTCGGATCAAGCAAAGAAGTAATGGTTCGGGCAATAAAATGTCAGTGTGGTATGGTTTTTTTTACTATACTCTATATTCTGGACCAATACCAATCCCTTTTCCGAAGTATGAATGACATACTTGTATGCTGGTCCGTACCATAATTCTTTGCTTGATCCGACGTATCCCCACATGTAATCCCTGGTGATTCGAGTAGGGAGGAAAACATCGACTCGCCGGCAGATAAAGTAATTCTGAATGCGGCAAATAAAACCTGAAGTTTAGTTAGAACGCTTCACAACTTTTCACAGTTGTCTCTTACATGGAATTATAGATTGAACATTTTATGCTTACGAATTTGCAATCCTCGGGCCATGTGACACGTCCTTTATCAAATTTCTTGTGGTGATCTTTGAAACCTAAAATAAAAATGAAACTATTTTGTTCAAAAATTCATTCGTTCTGTTTCCACAATGTCTTCACGAAAATTTGAGAAAGCAGAAAGACTCTATCCTTCCTTAGCTCCAATATTACATAGTAATAAAAAGGAAAATACGTACACTGGTACTCCTTCATTACTTGTCGCGTACCAACCACCGACAAACTCGCGAAAGAAAATAGGTGTAAAGCGTTCCATTAAGAAAGAACCACGTTTTATCCCTTTCTGGAGAAAGGAAAGTTTGTGGCTGTTCTTATACCTGCTGCTGTTTGTCTTGTACTTACTGCTTTATTGGAGACCAAATATTAAGTTTGGTTTCTGTGATAGCGGAGAATATAAAAGCGAAGGTAAAATTCGCATGTAAGTAAATTGCCTCCAGTTTCTAAAAATCTAATTTTTCTTTTATTAATAGATTTCTCATATTATCTTGGTGTTTCTTGTACGAATTGTCCTCCTCATGCAACTTGCAGTGATGGAAAATTGATTAAATGTGATTATGGTTATAAGATCGATATGTCACATCCTCTTCTTCAAAGTTTATATCCTACTTCACAAAGATGTGTACATGATAAACAACAACCTCAACGTGTTCGGGAGATAATTGATAGTATAGATAATACTCTTTCGTCGGAAGCTGGAAAATTAGAGTGTAAAGGAGTGACTGGCGAGAATAAGTTTAACTTAAATGTTTTAAAACTTTTATTGGAAAAAAGATTGAGATTTCAAGAAATCGATTGGCAACCAGCAATAGAAGAATTAAGTAAAACTCGCAATGGAGTTGATTTTTTCGAAGAGGGGTATTATATTCAGAGTTTATTTATTTCTTTGAATAGTTCATTTATAATTTTATTAATTCCCTGAATTTTACTATTTGAACAAATTTCAAATAGCAATCAAATATATCTCAAGTCGAAACATCCCAAACCTCCATTTTACTGCATATTATACAATTCAGCAGTGGTTTTTCTTCGGCAATTCTTTTTACTCCCATTAGTTATTTTGGCGGGATGTGTTATGATAATAATGGTTTTTTATTATTTGGCAAAATGGGCGCGAACATATTACACAAAAAAACGAAGAGAGAAAAACGAAGATCAAGAGTACGTAATACAAATGGCGAGATATTTATACGGATGTTTAAACCAGAATTCAAAAGAAGAAGTAAGTTTTTTAATTAAACTGAGTATTTTTTTTATTATTAATTTAGATTTTTATCTATCTGACAAAAATATTGTTTATAAGCGGCCATTAATTCTCTTTGAAGCAAATCAAAATTGCTTTGATCATTATGGACTACCAAATAATCGATTTAATCAAATATGGCCAAAGGCAGTGCAAGAATTCAAAACTTTTCCTAATGTACAAGAAAGATATGTTGGCGAAGATTTAGGTTTTGTATTACTTGCTGAGTGATAATATATATTCTAATTTGACGATGTTGTTGCTCTTGAAATATTGACTTTGTCGTGGAATCCCAAATTCTTAAACTCATCTCTCGCCATTAGTCCCCTGTTATATTTAATTAATATTATTAGTTCAAAAATGAATATTTCTAGATATATCTATATTAGTCTCACTTTTTCATTCGACATTCCAAATATGCTTTTGATAAATGTCTACAAGCTCCATTATCTGATTTGTTTTGTTTAAGGCATTCGAGATATTCTTTCACGAGTTTTTTGCATTCGCCTTTATATATAAAAATTTTAATATTGTATAATTATAACAAATTAAACCAATTGATTATGAATTACCTTCATGGTCTAACGGAAAACTACCTCGTTCTGGTGGTGTTGCGCTAAAAGTGGTAATATTTGGGGGTCTTCCAAAGGACATTATTTTAAGAAATAAAAAACATTAAATTTCTGTGTAATTTATTTTCTTAATTACATTCAATAAAAAGTGAATTGAACAATATTGCTCGATGTAGACGAGATAAACGATATCAAGATCATAATCACATCTTCATATAATCATATTATTATTTAAAAGTATAGTAAAAAAATTTATAGCTTTATTTTTTAAATTATTTAAATAAGCAAATATTAACAGAATGATTTTTGGTAATAATAATGCAAAGAATGTTCAAAATAACTTAAAATTAAATAAAAATTGATATACTTAAAATTTTCTTTATGATTTAAAAAATCAAAAATTTATATAATAATTCTGAAAATTCTTTTGAAATAAATTATTAAATATTAATTATAAAATTTTTTATATATCTAATATTTTTTATAAATTTTTGCATATTAAATTTATAATATCTAGTATATTTAATTAAAAAATTTTTATTAATTATATATATATATATCTATAATAAATTATTGAAAATCAAAAAAAAAATAATAAAAATAAAATTTTTTTTATAATAAATATTTTATTTTTATTAATAAATATTTTTGCTTTTATATCAAAATAAAGCTAAGAATCTGTATTTTAACATATATTTTTTAATTTAATTTCAAGAATATTTCTGATTATAAAGTTGATTATATAAGCTTTTTTATTAAATTTGAATTTTAATTATATAATTAATTTTATAAATTTTATTTAATGATGTTATAATATTATAACATTATTTTATAATGAACTTTAATCAAATATTTTACTGGATCATTCATACTTAATATTATTTGATTATAAATATTTTATATCTTATTGAAAAAATCTAATCATATGAAACAAGTAAATGAACAAGTGAGCGAATAAACAAATAAGTAAACAAGCAAATATTGAACTAATAAAATTTAAGTAATCTAGCAAACATGAATTTGTATAGCTAATGAATTATATTTTGGATTTGTATAAAAGCAATATGTATCATAGTTATTAGAACAAGTTTTTTGATAATAATTATCATCTCAAAACTAGTAATTATATAATTTTGATTATTCATATGAGCAAAGTTTGCATTTTATATAGAGTAAGTAATCAAGTGCAAACTCCTTTCTATATTCCTTTGACAAAGTATTTTTGTTTCTTGTATAATCACTTTAGCACTGTTGCCATAAGTATTATACAGATTTTGAATTAATATTATAGTAGCTTAAGCAAGATTACCAGGAGTATTATAAAAGTTATCATTTTAATACTAAGTTATCTAAACACATTTGTAATGAAATTTATTGAACATTATATTAAATAAAGGAATTATTATTATAATTTATAAATTTATCTTTGAGATTGTATTGCTAATAATATATTGCTTATAAACTTACCTTTGATTTTGTATTACTAATAATATATTGTTTAATATATTTATCTTTGATTTGTATTGTAGATAATATGAATATTATATCTTATATTCTGACTTCAAAGATTTAAAGATATTTTTAATACGTATATTATATTTGATATTGAGATTTTGAGAACTCTTTTTAGCAGTCCAGTTATTGTATTAAAAGAACACAACTGTTATCAACCTTTAAGTGATTCTATAAGTACTTGTCGTACTTTAATTCATATTCAGTCTAAAGTCATAAAGTATTATTAAGACTTTGAATTAATATTAAGATATTGGAAGTTTCCCTTTGAATATTCCTTAAATTTTATAAATACCTTTGAGTATTTCGAAAGTTCCATCAAAACGGTAACAATATTTAAATTTAAAATAATCTATATTTTATTTGATAACATAGAAAACTCTATCTTTAAAAATAGATAATGTATATTTATTTTATGATTAACTAGAATAAGATCAAAAATATTTAAAAATAATTGTGTTCTTTTAAATTTGATTAATAAATAAGTAAAATATTAATTATATCTTTATTAATTCAATTATATAATTATAACTTTGCAATTAAAATAAGAGATTAATTATAAGAATTATAATTTTGCAATTAAGATAAAAATTATAAAACAAAATATAATAATTTTACAATTAAGATAAAAAATTATATAAATACTAGTTATTTTAAAAGAATTATTTTTAAAAAATAAAAACAAATAACAAATTCAACTTGTTATTTTTCTAAGCTAAGACACATATAATATTTATAAGTAATTGATAAATAAGAAGTAATTTAGAATAATAATCATTTGAAATAATTATTTGAAGTGATTGTTTGAAGTGATCATTCATTGCAAATGATCATTTGAAATGATTACATACAATGATTATTTATGATGATCATCTACATAAAATATTCAATCACAATAGTATAAACAGCGATATGAAAAATAATGAAAAACAAATAATCTATTTTGATATACTAATAAAACAAATATTTTATTTTGGTGCACTAATAAAAAATATCAGAAAGACAGTTTTATATATAAACTTGATCTCAACTCTAGCCCTGATCCTAATTCTAAGCTTAAAATCAATTTTCAATGTTATAGTCGCATGTTACGTGATGGACCAGACTTTAGACATTCATGAATTCGAATTCAGGAGCCCGGAAATTTTCGATATGGTTCCTAACACGTGTATAGCACATGTTCATGTATAGAAATGGCTAATTCTAAAATCTGATTGAAAAGATTTAATTTATTGTTACAGGTTATTTCTAAGCTTAGAAACAATCATAACAGAATATTTGATATGTGATAGTAAAAGATATAACAAATTTGACATAATAGGAAACTAACAAATTAACATTCCTCATCAGAATCATCCATCCACCATGCATCATCAAAAACCCTCAACATTTCAATACTATATTTCGGCACGTATTGATCATCAAAAATTGTCACAGCACCAGCCTTATTTATCCGATTGTTATTTAATCTTTGTTTTTTACTTATCGGATTTTGATTTTGTTCTCGTTCTTTGCGTTGTCGTTCGATAGCTTGGTTCTTTTCATAGAAAATTCGGGCAGAACGATGTGCTGAACGAATTTCCTCGCATCTTTGCACTGATGTATTCGTGTAGTTCGATAGGCGTTGAAGAGATGAATGGAGATCGTTGGTGAGTATTAAAGTCAAGAAATGCGCGTCAACGAGTAGTGTTACGAATTCAATTATCTATATAATTAAGAAAAAAAATGTTTTTATTAAAAGTTAATGAAACGGTTTTGCATCTCGAAATTAAAATTAACTTACCGTAGAAAAACTAGGAACGGAATTTTGTAGTTGTATAGTTCTAGAGCTATCGCCTTTACTACCATTTATGTATTCGTCTAACCATGTACATGAAATCTCGAATAAAATAAGTAATTCATCGACTTTCAATTGCTTCATATGTAATTGCATCAAATTATTTTGACGTTTAGCTAACATTAATTTTGGAAGAAAATATTGTAACATCGGTGATGAACGAGGCGAATTTGAAGAGGCACCGTCATTAATTCCAGTGAATTTCTTAAATCCCTCGTCAACTTTTGATGTTTTCGATAACGTTATCAGATGTTGAAGCAAAAAAACTTGATCTTTTTCTGGAATATCACGACCAAATTGCAAGAGTAAAGCTATAGACTCCTAAAGAGGAACAAACATTTAATGCAAAACTTTAAAAGCGCGTATACCAAAAAAAGAACACAGCTATTAAAAAAGGGATATATATATATATATATTAGACTGACTAACCCAATCACACCTTTCGATCAAAGCTTTCATAAGACCATTTTCTATCCTTGAGTTCGGTAGAAGGTCATTTTTTATCAGATACTGAACAACTTTTATTGGGTAGAACTGGAGATTTGGTTCCCCTTTAGGGAGTCGCCCAAAGCAGCGATTTAATATTTTCTCAATGAAATATAGGGAAACTTCGATTTTTGGCCCATTCTAGATTAGTCAAAAGTTGATTGATCAATATAATACAGCCAAGTTAATGATAAACAATGATAAATATGTGAAGTAGTCATACCTCTCCAAACATTTTTATCAATTTTTTGTATTTTATTTTTTGTCTTTTGGTATTATTTAGTAATTCTGTGCTATGTTCCCGTGTACTATCTGACTCGCTATAAGACTTTGGATTATCATCATCGGAATGACTATTTGATCTTAGTTCAGTGTCCATGTAATCTGATTCATCATCCTCATCTTTCTCATTACTGTCATCGTCTTCTTCCTCGCTCTCTTCATCTTCATTATTATTATCATCTTCTTCTTCCTCGCTCCCTTCATCTTCATCACTGTAATTTGTAACCTCATCCTGCGCGGATTTTTTAATGCAATTAATGCCATTAAGGCCGTTCACTTTCTTTAAAGATGCATTAACATAAAAACTCTCTTTGAGATGTTTATCTCTGTCAATTTCTTCCTCTTCATCTTGACCAATTTTTTTCTCTTCATCTTGGTCGATTTCCTCCTCCTCGTCTTGATCAATTTCCTCGATTTCTTCCTCTTCATCTTGATCGACTTCCTCGGTTTCTTCCTCTTCATCGTGATTGATTTCCTCGATTTCTTCCTCTTCATCGTGATCGATTTCCTCGATTTCTTCCTCTTCATCTTGATCGATTTCCTCGCACAGACGCTTATTCTTCGATATTAAATCAAATTCATCAACTCCAGACATCTCCATCCAAATTCGACAAGCTTCTTGTTCCTTCTCATTTACATATGTCATAAAAATGCGAGAAAAATGTTCTACTGTAGATGTGATGTCCGAATCGATCAAAAGATTTAACATATCTTTTTCATGCATTGTCCCTTTTCGAACACACGCCACAATATTATGATAGATTTTTTCCGAAGCGCTTTGTTCCAGTATTCTGTCTTTCTAGATTTAGAATTTCATGTAAATCAATGATTCCATCAATTCTCAGAATATAAGTGAAATGGGGGAAAAGTTTGTTCCCTATAAATCTAAAGCGTAATACATACATACCTTAACGGTCGGAAATGCAATCGCTTCCCCTTCCTCACCAGAATGTGCACTTCCTAGATCCATATCGTTTCTAGCAGAAGTTTCATTTATTTTGGCTTGAGCTGCATTCGTTCGATTAATTTTTATTTTATGAGAATTAAGCCGATTCAGAAGTGACATTATCAATATTGGATCAAGAGTAGAGTATCGAGATTGACGTAGCTGTCCGTTTAATTCGTTTTAATAATGAGAGTTTCTAAGACGCTGTGAATTGCGTGAATTGTGTGCGAACTTGATATCGATATCGAAGAAAAAACGAAGTTTTTGTTCATTATTTTTTTTGTTGGTTATGTAGATTGTGTTACCTTCCTGTTTATACCTTACCTATAATTATCAGCCAATAAGAAGATTCAGTCAAATAATTTTCATTTTTGATCAACGAAATTAGATGAATTCCTGTTATCCGCCATAGTGGGATACCTTATCAAAATATCAAACTCGCTACGTCATAGAGATAGTCGCACACAATGATGAATTAGAATATCGTTCAACAAATTCGCCATTTCTCTCGTTTTCTGCTTTCTCCACCATTATACAAAACGTATTAATAAAAATCCCAATTTCAAAATGACCCACCCATTCGGAAAGTGGACTCCGCTAAGTTCACCCGCTTACTTTGAAGACTTTGAAAGTAATACGAATAGCAACAGTAATAACAATCATAATAGTAGTAGTAGTAAGAATAATAATAACGACACCAACAGTAATCTCTTTAATACCACGACAACAATACCAACGCGTAGAGCTTCAGATGTACAACAGGTGCCACGCCCTTTTTCAACGCCTCAAGCGCCAACGTCACCAATATCAGGAAAAAATAATTCTAAAGCTATATTTTTTTTATTTAAAAAGAAGGACACATTACATAATAATAGTGATAATAATGGACAAAGTTTCATTTCTGGACCATCGACTCCAGATTCTTCAGTATCACCGTCGCTACCTTCTTCTCCAGTACAACTACTACCACCGCAGCTACCGCAACTACCTACTCCAAGGACACTTGAAGAGGAATTTACAACCTCAATAACTACAAAAGTGGAAGAAGCAGATAATCAACATTTCAAAGAGAAACGTAGTCCTGTTTCGAAAACTAAACTCGGAAGCATTAGTGTTCCAAATCTTTTATCTTTGAATGAATTAGATTTGAGTGCAGAATATGAAATGTTAATGAAGCAAAAATTACAACAACACAAATATAGTGGTCCAGGTGATGACCACAACCACAATAATCACAATAGTAAAAGTAATAATAATAAAATTAATAACAATCACAAAAAAAATAACAGCAACAGCAACCTTTCGTATGCAAATACTTTTCCTAAACAAGGTCAAAGAAAAACTAGTGTAATGTTTGAAGAACAGGAAAAAGGTTTTAAGGTGAGCTGAACAGAAATTATACACGCATGTCTCTATATTTTTACTATCGTAATAGTAGTTGTTTTTCGTCCTCGCCCCTCTTATTTATTTCTTGTCATCGTTCGAGACGTATTGTCGATTAAATCTCTTGGAAGACAGCATACATGCATGCATACAAATAATATACAAGCATACCATTTTCGTTCAAGCATGCAGTATTTACTTTTTTTGTTACAAATATTTAATTCCGGTTGTGCTTCAACGGATTACCCTTTATGAAAAACATTTCACTTTTATCACTCTCGTTTACTTCTTTTTCCTACCACCGCCACTTGCATTCCTAAACTAGTTGCGCTATGTTAATAACTGTATTTTAATATACCAAAATAGACTACAATGAAAAAAACGATGAGAAAAACGTCGACATTTTTCAGAAAACTTGGTGGAAATAAGGTAAGAGAACAAAGAGATAAAAAAGGTAAAAGTAATGTTCGTCGATATTTTCACGAATAAATATTTTAAAAAACGAATGAATTTCTCTTGACTTTTCCAGCCACATTCCGATCAAAATGGTCGACACTCTATTCCAAATTTCCACGACACAGAATCGAATGAAAAGAGCGACATACCCAGATTAACGCTTAATAATAGTAGCGGGATTAGTGGTCATGATTACTACGATGAGGATAGAATGAGATCATATTCTGATAATGAAGATTTGGATTATGAGACAAGTGGAGATGATGGAGAAATTGATGAAAATGATATACTACAGGAAACATTTAAAGACTTTGCCATATTTAAGACATTTGAGTTTGATGCTGCTCGTCGACGTAATGCATTTTATCGTAATTCATTATTGGGCGCAAACAAGAGTGTACCCGAAAATCTTGGGCGAGATTATGCCTTTTTCGACAATAATTTAAATACGGACAATGACTCAAAATTGTTAACGAATTTTCTGGAACCAGATGATAATCGAGCAATTAGAGGAAAAACTTTTAGCTTACCTCCTATGGTGAATATTAGTAGTGATATAATAATGAAAATAGACAAATTGAATGATAATCCCAATACGAGTGGTCTTAGTAGTCTCGGAACGAAATCAATAAAACCACTCCCGCCAATAAAAGTGCAGGAAAATTCTTCAAGTAAGCATCAAATTTAAATGTAAAATCGATTTTATGACTCAGAGATTCATCATCTTACGATCTTCCTAAAGAAAAGAAGATGATGAAAAATCATTAATTCTTAATAATCGAATAATGGTTATTAGTGACAATAATAATGGTGATAAAAATAATCCACTGCTTTCTCTTTTTTCTCCTCTTTAAATTCATTTATAACAGCCGAAACAACCAAAGAAGTATATACAGGAGGAGGGGGACAACCAACATCCTCGTTAAGAAATTCTTCTGTTAATAAAGAGAAAATAAAATCACCAACGACGATAACCTTCGCTGGTAATAATAATAAATAGCAACATATAATATGAATGAAAACGATAATATTAATACTACCACTACTACTAATAATATTACAGAGGAAAGAGAATCGATATTCGTTAAGAGTGGATTTCAGAGACAAGATGCTAACGACACAGGTACGGAATTAGTAGTAGGTCCCAGTCCTACAATACCTAAGAGACCAAATAAAAAATTGCCAGATTTACCAAAAACCAAGCAAATCGTTAATCAGCCATCGGCGTATTGTTCACCACATACGCGACAAGCCTCCAGCATCGCTAGCTCTTCTTATGAAACAGCTAGCGGATCTACAGGAACATTGCATACTGCTCCCCCTTCCCCGATTGCAAGTGAAGATTTTGCCGATAATAACCAAATTACCCGCTGTATAAGTAACACTATCTCTTCAGATTCAACTTTTGCTACCACTTCTCCTTGTCCTCCTCATGTTCAGGTGGATGATTCAGTCTCAACAGAGGAACGAAATTCATCCAATAATGATGACGATAATATTAATATTAATAATAATAATAATAATAATAATATGATTGTTAATAAAAGTAATAATAATAATAATATTAATATTAATAATAATATTATTATTAATAATATTAATAATAAGGATATTGATATTAATATTAATAAAAATAATAATGATAATAATGACGATGACGATGATGATGATGATGAAACTCATGAAAATAGTGATGAACATGATAAAGTTAAAATCGACGAGCAATTACCATCATCGTCTCCTCTACCTGAAGTGCTTGAGAAAAATGAGGATGAAGTAGCATGGGCTGATGCAAGGATTGCGGCGCAAAGATGTTATGAAGAAGATCAAACATTCAAGTTAAAAGAACAAATTGCCGAATTTTTAGGCGGAAAGTATGTATAATATTCAACGCCATCAGCAAATTATTAGTATCATTATGATCATCATTATGCTATATTATTTTATTTACGAGATTATTCAAATCTGACAAAGGTTTTTTCTCTCAATTTTGAAGTAAAATCGCAAATGTTCGAACATTAAAGTGCTATATGGAGTACTATAATTTTCACGATAAACGAATTGATGTTGCATTTCGGTTAGTAATTATCATGTTCATTTATAAATTCTATTACTATTTGCATGTGTGAGTTTTTTGATTATTAAATTCGTTAATATTTTTACATTAGACAACTTTGTGCTCGATTATACATAAAGGGTGAAGCACAGCAGGTGGATCGAATTTTGGAAGCATTTTCCCGCAGGTATTGGGAATGCAACCAATTTCATCCTAAATATTCCTCATTAGCAAGTGCTGGCAAGTCGTTTTCTATTTTCATTACTCTCGAATACAAAGAAACAAAAACTAAATATAATTTTATATATTATTGCAGATGTCGTTCACGCTATTTCATATGCACTTCTTTTACTTAACACTGACCTTCATATTGCCCAAGGCATCACTCGGATGTCTCGCTCACAATTCGTCAAAAATACAATGCATACAGTTCATTCACAAATATCACTTATACCCCCATCCACACCAATCACACCAATTAGCAATAATTCTAGTGCTATCGAATGTGACGATGATTCAATGTCAATAGAAACTAACACGACAGTAGTTCGACCCCCACGACGTAGTGATAGTCTCAAAAGCTGGACAAGCAATCCAGGTGGCGGACTGTCGGCTGTTTCTTTCATGAATGCTTTTAATAATTCAGGCTTTAGCAGTCCTCCTATTTATTCACGACAATGGGACGCAGAATTGGAGAATCTATTAAAAGCTGTTTATAATTCAATCAAAGCCAATCAAATATTACAGCCTTTATTGTCATCAATAGAAAAGGGAACTTCCTCAGAAACTACATCACCTTCGCCAACTATTCGACTTAAAAGAAGTGAAAGTCATTTAGGTCATCCTCATAGATTAAACGTCAGTTTAAGAGAAAATCTAAAACGGCGCTCAATGAAAACAGAGAGAAATTCACCCAGTCCTAGTTTAGGGAGTGGTGGGAGTGACATAAGTCTCGGGGTAAGCATTAATTTACATTTGTCGTAATCATTATTAATTTCTTGAATAATAAATTTATTTTTCTATCTAAAGACTACCGTGAACCATCGAAGCAGCACTGTAACTCTAGGATCCAATAATACATTACATCAGCAGTCATTTGAAAATATATCGACCATTTCCGAGAAAAACAAAGAGCGAGATGATAGTGATAATATTTCACTTGATTCAAATTCAACAACTGAATCTTTACAATTATACTTGTCTGGTGCTCCATATGCCAAGGAAGGAAATCTCGTTAGAAAACATTATTTGGAATCAACGAATAAACGAGCAAAGGATAAAACTTGGAAAGAATGCTTTGTAGTGGTTGAGAATGGCGAGATTAAAATGTTCAAGTTTGATAATCATCATAATAGTAATAATGTAGGTGGAGATGGCACTGTCGGTGGCGGAAATTGGATGGTAACTCTTTTCACTCTATTCTACTTGATTATATTATTATTTATCATCCGTGCGCTTTGATTTCAACCAAATATGATTTTGTTCTATTAATAGGCCAATGCAACTCTTTTGGGTGAAGTTAATTTACGACATTCAATAACCAATTCACTTCCTCCACCCGGATATAACAGAGATCGACCTTTCGTATTTGCTCTATCATTACCAAATGGTGGTCTATATCTATTCCAAGCTGGTACCCCAGAACATGTGGCGGAATGGGTAGCAACTTGTAATTACTGGGCCGCGATGATGAGCAAAGAACCATTGTCGGGTGGTGTTAGCAATATGGAATATGGATGGAATAGATGCATAGATTCATCAACTTCTTCATTCGACATTGTCGAAGATTGGGAAGATCATCGTAGTGTATTGAGTGCCGGTTCATATGTAACACATAATGATCGAGTAAATATTAATGAATGGAAAGCACCGATGCCTACAATGGTATCTAGTGGATTTAAAGAGGTGAATTTCAAAGAATTTTAATAGTGAATTGAATTAAAAATAATAAATTTGTTCTGAATAATATTTTACATAGGATAAGCAACTGGCTGCACTCAAAAAATACATAACGGATTTGGAAAATGAGCTAGAGGCACACAAAACTTATCGAGAACCCATGACTAGACTGGTGAGTGAATCATATTAATGGGTGATAATTGATTTAGTTTCGTTACTGGTTAATTGATATCATTTTTTATTTTTTCAAGTATCATCCACGATCTTCAAACTACACTAAAGCCTTTGCTAATTGGGAAAAGAAATCTCAATGGTTACTTTATGAAATAGTTAAATATACAACTTATATTGAATCGCTCGAGAATTCTGTCATTATTCGTGCTCGAAAGCGTAAAGAAAGAGAAAAAACAAAGAATGCCGATTTACATAATAAAGAAGAAAGTGCTCCATCTTCACCATTACCCACAATCACAACCACGATCACCGAAGAAGATCAAAAAATAGAAAAAAAGCGTGCTGAATTTCGACAATCAATTCGATTACTGCGGCATCGTGCCACATGGACACCAGGTGATGAAGGTTTCTCCTTAAATTTACCCAAAGAACTTTTATATGAAGAAGCAGACGATGAAGAGGATGACGCTGATGGCGAAGAAGTTGTAACAAACTCTGAAACATCATCAAGAATTCATCACGCTGGATCATCTGGGAAACTTCGTTCAGCTACTTATCCACAATTTTTCAAAGATCTCACGATACAAGAGGATCAGAAATTGGAGAATTTTTTGCATGAAGATGGTGTTAGTAATGATAATGTTAATAATAATGATAATCAGGCCGATTTTGCTCACTACGAGTCAGGTCAAAGATGGGTAGATCGTTTTCGAAACTAGCGCTGGCGCATTTTGGATTATTTTGGATTAATTTGTATATTTATTTATTTTATTTATTTAATGGTTTGGGCGATCATTAGGAACTTTTGCGTTGATTTAAAAACATCATTTGAAGGATTGTCGAAAATATTGCATGTTTAGCTTTTTTTGTTGTATTATTTATTTTTATTTATTTTTAGACTACCTATTTACTTATTTGCTTATTACATTATATTAATTATCGTAGACCTTTTATGCTTATACATTTCCCCTTTTACCTACAAGATCACTATCATCACAAAATTATTTCTTATGTATTATCAATCATCATTAATATTGCATTATTCTTTCGTTAAAAAACAACCCTCGATATTAAAAATATTTTTTATTTCTTGTCTGTATGATTTTTAATATTTCCAGCCCCAGATCTTTTTTTATTTTATTAATGTATTTTATTAGCTTTAATTTTTGGTTGGTTGTTTTTAAAAGTATTTATATATTTAGTATTCTTAGGATATTTACTTTAGATCGTTATCTTTATTTTAATTTCTTTAAAAAAATCTTCTTCATTGAACAAATTAGTATTAAAAAAGCTGTTATTATACATATACTTGAAAATGATGTAATTGAAAAAGAGCATTAAATATTATGTTATTTATTAACTTCGTTTAATTATAAAAAATTGATTTTTTTTGTAAGATCGATAAATTTATAAAAAAATTTCTTAATAAACTTATTTGTTTCTTATAGTTTATTCACATGATTAAAAAACAAAAGTTCATATAATATTGTTATCATGTTACTTGATTTTACAACTTTCAAGTATTATATGTTTTTCACGTGATTTTAATCAGATAAAAAAGATAATATTGTTATAAATCAATATTTCTTATATTCGTATATTCTTATTGAACAATTTTATATTCTTATATTTTATTGAATAATTAATTAGTTAATAATCATTTCAATAATTATTGAAATAATTACTTTAATGAATTATTTCAATAATCATTTTTATAATTATTTTATTTTCATGATCATTTCAATAATTATTTCAAAAAACATTTTCATAATTATTTTAATAATTATTTTATATATAATTTGATTGGTAATTTTACAAATAATAATTTATTTGTAAATATAGTATGTATTTATAAGTTAAATTAGTTATTTTTTTTAGTAATTATTTTGTTAATAATTTCTCATTTTAAAAGTAAAATATATTTTTTTGGTAATTTGCTAGTCAAATAATTTTTTATAATTAAATATACAAAATTAAATAATTTTTTTATAATTAATTATATATAATCAAATAATTTTTACAAAAAAATATATTTTACTTTTAATTTTAGTTTATTTATAATCTTTTATTTTAATTATAAAATTATTATTATTATTTAATTTTTTATCTTAACTGTAAAATCAAAATTATTTAAATTAATAAAAAGAAATTATTAACACTTAATTATTTATAAATATTTTTGTTAAAGAAAAGATTTCTGAACTTATTTTAACTATTTATAATATAAATATATAAATATATATATATATATATTATTTATCTTTAAAAATAATATTAATTATTTTATTTATAGTTTTAATTATTTATAATTAAAGTTTAATAAATTAATAATTTGAAAATAAACTTTACTTAACATTATAAAGTATTATTTATATTATTTATTTATCAAGCTCTTTGTTAATAGATTAATTGCTGAAAATTCTTTATTTTAATATGAGTTCACTTTATTAAGAATTTGAACTTTAACTATATACTATCTTTTTTATCTGATTTAATATGATATATTTTATATATTATATACTTAAAAAGTAAAAATACTTGCTAAGATCTCTTAATAACTATATAAATTTTATTAAAATTATAATAAACTATTAGTAAATAGAATACCAAAATTTTAAAATTTGTTGAAATCAAAATTTTGTTAAAATTCTAATTAATAATTAGTATATAACTTATTAAAACTTTGCTAAAATATTTTTGAAAAAATTTTGACAAGTATTCTTATTGAAAAATATAAAATAATAACAATATAATAACTAATATTTTTATAACTAAAATACTAAAAATAAATGTGTTTATTTTATTAAATAATTAGAATAAGTACAAAAATTTTTTTTAATAAAAATAAAAATAATTATAATTTTAATAATAATTTATAAATAAATAAAATATTAATAATTTATTAATCAAAAATAACTTTGTAATAATAACAAAAAATTAAATAATAATAAATATAACTTTATAATTAAAAAAAAATTATAAATAAAATAATATAATTTTATAATTAAAATAAAAAATTATATATAACTTTATAATTAAAACAAAATATTATAAACAAAATAATATAATTTTATAGTAAAAGTCAAAAAATATATTAATTAAATATTATTATTAATTTATAATTTTATAACTTACTAAATAAATAATATATCTATATTTTTAGTATTTTCTATTATATTAAAGTATTTATTATTTATAATAACTTATAAAATATATCAAATTTTTTTATAAAATAATACTTTATAATTGATTTTAAAATAGACAGAATATTAATAATTCAATTTATTAAATTAATTTAATATAACTTTGTAAATTTATCAAACAAGAAATTATAAATTACTAAAATAAAACTAAATTAATAATTTAAATAAAACTTAAAATAAAACAATAAAAAAAATATTAATATTATTTTTGATTATTAACTTTTTCAAAAGATATTTATTTAAAGAAATTCATTTTTAAATTATTAAAAAACTTGATTTTAAATTATTAAAAATCTCAACTTGTTCAAACTAAATATATAATTAAATATCTTTATAGTTATCATTCTTAAAAAAGCAAATTTGAATAACTATAATTATAAAAAAGTTTTTTTTAATATATTATATAGTGACTAATAGAATTATGAAATCACATATACAATTTTATTAATAAAATATAATAAAAATTAAAATTTTTATCTTATATAAAAGTTCTTAATTTTATTAATAAATATTTATTTTTATATTAAAACAAAGATTACAAATTATAGTTTAATATATATAATAGTTCTCAAAATTATGGAATCATATATGTAATTTTATTAATAAAATATAGTAAAAATTAAAATTTTTATCTTATATAAAAGTTTTCAATTTTATTAACACATATTTTTTATTTTATATCAAAATAAAGATTATAATTAAAACAATTTTGTCAAAAAAAATCTAAAAAATCCAAAAAAAATATATATTAAACTATAACTTGCAAAGTTATTGCAAAAATTTTTTATAATTAATTTTATATTTTAATTATAAAAAATTTTTGCAATAACTTTGCAATTAAAACAACTTTGTCAGAAAAAAATCTAAAAAATCCAGAAAAAATATATATTAAACTATAACTTATGATCTTTGTTTTGATATAAAATAAAAAATATTTATTAATAAAATTAAAAACTTTTATATAAGATTAAAATTCAATTTTTATTATATTTTATTAAAAAATCACATGTATAATTTCATAATTTCGTTTATTGATTTATTGTTCAAAAAATGTTAATAACTTATAATATTTTTGATTTCAATTACTAATTTTTAACTTTAATAAAATTTTTATTTATATTATTTTATAATAAATATTGTAAAAAATCATTATATAAAAATATCTAAAATATTTTTAATTCAGAATTTCATCTAATTAAATCAATTTTGGTGATCATGCTTACTCAAATCAGATTCAAACTCATAATATTTTGAATCTTTCTTGAATTCAAGCCAAAATCTCAAAAACAATAAAAGCATGTGCATCTTTTTCAATGCTAATGCTAATGTTTTTTGTTTTTAGTTTTAGGTTCTTTATTAAAACTTCTAGCTTTGACGCATTGGGATATTTTTCAAAGTAAAAGAAATCCCATGTGTTTACTTCCAATATTTTAAAATGGGATACAAAAAACGGTAGAGTATTTGGTATCATTGAAAAGTGAGAATGTTTAACACCATGACGAACTTTTGATAAAACTTCTGGCAATATAGAGAAATGAGACTAAAAAAAAAGGCTTATTTAAACAAAAATTAGCTAAAAAGTAACAGCTGATAAATGGCATGTTCCTGGTGACATTTTATGGTTGGCCAAAATTACCAAAAGTTTAACTTACTCTCGACCAATCGAAAAATAAACGCCATCAAATCACGAGCAATAAATATTTTTTCTTCAAGTTGCATTTTCCTTCCAACATTATAAAAACTGACAAGTTGCTCTAATCTTCAATGTAAGTTAAGCCATCTAAAGCCAAAGAAATAACGTTATTGCTTGCTACACACGCGAGATGACATCAAATGAAACATATACATAATAGAAGGAAAAAGGAAAAGGGAGAGTTTTAAATAGAGATATGCTGGTGAATGAGTGAATAGATTAATTGGAACTTTTTAAATTTCAAGGCCGAACTTGAGCAGTCAGAAAAGGTTGGCCGCTAGCGTCCTCGGATGTGGCCAGAGAAAGGTTTGGCTTGACCCTAACGAAGTCAGCGAAATATCAAACGCCAACTCTCGTGAGTGGGAAAAATATTTACTTATCGATTTTTTTAATTAGAAATTTTCGATTATATTTGATATTATTTTATTATCAATAAAAAATTGATTAATTACATCTTTTAAGTGTCGCCCATTCAATTCGATTTTTTTATCGTTATTTTGGAATCTCCAAATTACTTGCGACACTTAATAGCTTCTAATGATACACAATATTCAAATTGTTATTCCAAATACAGGTCAAAATATTAGAAAACTCGTAAAAGATGGTCTCATCATTAAGAAACCGCAAGTAATTCACTCTCGATTCCGAGTCCGAGCAAAACTCGAAGCCAAACGAAAAGGACGACATACTGGTCCTGGAAAGAGAAAAGGTACCGCAAATGCGCGTATGCCTCATGCTGTGCTATGGATGAGGCGACAACGTGTGCTGAGACGTTTACTTCGAAAGTATCGAGAATCTCACAAGATTGATAAGCATTTGTATGTATGTTTGTGTATATTCTTTTATTTTCTATTTATAAATGAAACTGAACTCTATATTTAATTACTATTAATATTATTCATTATCTACTATCTAGATATCATCAATTGTACATGAAGGCTAAGGGTAATGTATTCAAAAATAAACGTGTATTAATGGAATACATTCATAAAGCCAAGGCCGAGAAGGCTCGTACTAAACTTCTCGCGTAAGTATAATTTCCATTTATTATCAAACTAATATTACCTATGATTATATTAATTAATTTTCTCTTCTTGATAGTGATCAAGCTGAGGCTCATCGTCAAAAGTCCAAAGCTGCACGTGAGCGTCGTGCTCAGCGTATTGCTGATAAGAAGGCCGCCTTGTTGGGTATTGATACCGAAGAAGAGCCACCAAAAGAGAAATAATTCAATCAACAATTTACAAAGATGCAATTTTGTATTAGAATTGATAGTAATATATATGTGTATTTAATTAATTAATTAATTGATTATTTGAATATGATTGAGTTGTGAACACGTAATTTAAAATATATTATCAGTACTGGGATTCTGATATTTTTTTCTCTAGATCTTTACCTCTCACCTTCGTTTGATTGTTTTAAAATCTTATTCCAAAATGTACCAAAGGATCATTTTTTTTTCTATAACACACAGCCATCTCTTCAAGGATCAAGGCAATAGTTAAATACATATCAACACGGAGATTCTCACTCAATAAGAATCATTTCGAAAATTTTGATACTTTTTCTCTTAATTTATATTGAAATATAGTGTGTTTGGAATTGAGAATTGCATGATTGAGAATAAAAAGATCTATTTAGTATAGTAATGACCAGCCTATGTATATACGTAAACTATATTTATATTTAACAGATAAGTTAACGGGATAACTATAAAGATATCAGATATAGATAAAAATGTGTTTATGCTAATAATTTGATTAATTCAATATACATCAGCAATTCTGTTTGATTTCTTATCCCGACTACAGCTACATCGACTAATATAAAAAGAGAAAAAGAAATATTTTACATTTTACGAAAATGAATCGACGACTGCTTTTTATATATATATATATATTGCTTGTAATACTCAACTTTAGTTAGTTAGATAGTTGCAAATTAGTAAGTGTGTAATACTTGCCAAGTATTACTTGAATCACCCATTAAATAATACTACCACTATCCAATATTATTAATTACAACTGTTTCGGTTGTTTCGGTGATAACTTGAGTTTCACCTGTTTCGTGAGATTCGGTGTGAGATTCTATGATTTTCTTGACGTTTCCAACAGCTGCTTCATTATTAGTAGAGGTCGTTAATTCATGAGTAGAAACTTCTTTAGTATTTTCTTCTTCGTGATTATCGACATCGGATGCTTCGTGAATCTCGTGACTTTCAGTACCAGAAACAACTTCTTCCTCACGAGCTTCTTGGGAATCAACAGTTGAAATTTCTTCTTCATGAGTTTCATGCGAACCAAGTGCCGACACATCATGGGTTTCATGAGAATCCGCATGGTCTTCGTGAGAATCAACACGGTCTTCATCAACTGCTGACACATGGTCTTCATGTTCTTGACTGGTTTCGATCACCGAGGAAGATTGAGATAAAATTTGATCAGTATGACTATCATGGTTGTGAGCTTCTTCGGGATCAGCGATTGATTCTTTTTCGTGAGAAACTTGTGAATTTAATTCTTCCTCGGAATCTTTGCCGGCGTGTGAATCTGAACCTTCGTGAGGATGAGATAAAGTTTGATCAGTATGACTATCATGGTTGTGAACTTCTTCGGGATCAGCGATTGATTCTTTTTCGTGAGAAACTTGTGAATTTGATTCTTCCTCGGAATCTTTGCCGGCGTGTGAATCTGAACCTTCGTGAGGATGATCATCCATGATTTCTGGTTTTTTTGAACCTTCAGATTCATCGTAGGCAACTGATTTAACAGGTGGTTTCACTTTGCTTTTACTATCTTTGCTTGTAGAAGTTGATAATTTATCGTCTTTGGATTTTTTAACGGTTGGTTTTGACTCTTGTAATTTCTTTGACGCTGTTGTTGTTTTTGGAGGTTCTTTTTTAACCGAAGGGTTAAGTCTGGTTGATTTAGTAGTAGCGGTAGACGTTGTTGGTCTTGTTATTGCTTTAGGAGGAGTAGTAGTGGAAGATTTAGTAGTAGTAGCATTTGTTGTTGTTTTTGATGTGGAAGTAGTTTTAGGAGCGGGTTTTGAAGAAGTGGATTTTGATGAACCCGTAGCTGTTGGTGCTATTTTACTTTTATCAGCAAAAGCTCCTCCAACTTTCTTAACAGTTGCAGTTGTACGTGCGGCGGGTTTAGACGTGGTTGCGGTGGATGTTTTAATTTTCGACGCAGTACTCCCAGTTGTAATTGGAGTGGTGGATTTAACACTTGGTGATCTAGATCTATTAGCGGAACTACTACTACTACTATTGGATTTGAGAGAATTTAGTGACGAAGTACTGGGTTTTTTAGCATGAGTTGGATTTAATTTTGTTGCTGATGTGCTGCTAGACGAAGATTTATGTCCACCAGTAGTAGTGGTGGTTTTTTTTGTAGCTCCAGATATGCCAGTTGTTGAAGGCTTTTTTACTACTTTTTTGGTGCCTGCGGTTGTAGCGCTTGATTTATTATTAACAGTTGATTTTGCTGGTGGAGTTGTTGTTGCTTTGACTTCTTCATCGGCTGCCACAATATGTTCCTTGATATGTTCATCTACTACTTTCTCAGTATTTTCTTTTACCTCATCAGAAAGCGATTGTTTAACGCTCTCTTCGGATACGTTAATTTCAACTTCGCTAGTGGAAACTTCAACCTGAACATTATTGGTTATTTCAGTTATTTCGGGAGTTGGTTCATTCAGCGCAGGAACAACGCTAGGGAGAACAACAGTTTCTTTATCCTTAGTTTCGAACTCCTCCACGACAATTTTATCACCAAATTCTTCTACCGAAACATTCTGTTCCTTTGAAAGAGTAGTACTAGTAGTGGAAATGGTAGTATTGCCGGTTCCGTCAAATTGTCCGGGAGTTATGTTAAGTCTTCCAGGGCTTCGAGGTCGTGGAGGTGGTTGTGACTGGTCACTTCCCTCCTCGAACCGGTTGATAATGTTAGCAACGGGCTCAAGTTTAGTGTGGTCTGGAATTACCATCTGTAGGAAAAAATAAAGCGAATAATATTTAGTATTTCGGTATACTTCAACAGAAAGTCAGCAATTCCACTAATGTTATACTATTGTTTTTTAATAATTAATAACAATTCAATTCATTAAAAGTTTTGTTTTTTTTTACACGCGTACATTGTGAACAAGAGAAACGGGTAGGTTTTTCTTTTAGTAATATGGCTCAAGCGGCCTTTTATACATATGCTAATATATGTACTCGCGCTCCGCAGACACTGATAGTTCCGACCGACCGTTTTATTAACGTTAATACAAGAAGTAGTAACCGAGAAGAAGAAAAGAGAAATAAATTAGTACATTTATAATGAAATGATTGATGATTGATGTGAATGGACGATGATGACTGATGAATGCAAGTTCTCATCCTCAAAGCCAATGAAAATGTCGCATGTGTGTGTGAGCTCCTACTTCCGACCTAAATGATTTAAATGATCACATCATGTGGCGTCCGAATAATAATATATTTTTGTCGAGTTCTTATCTGCACGCCATCAACCTTGAATTGGAAAGTCGTAACCCACAAACCTTTGTGCCAAACTTTTCCGTTTCAATTCCCACGGTCTTCTTTAACTTTTTTTTTGCCGCCTAATTGTATATTTTTTTTTATATTAATATCCTTATTTATTCCTTTTTGTCCCCTTAACATTCCAAAAAAGTCCCAAAAACCAACACAGCAACCACACATACTCCCAGAATTCTCTTCACGAAGTAACATTTTTCGCTGTAAAATTACATAATCATAATGGTGTTATATGCTCTCTTCACAGCTTGTGTAGACCTAGTTAGATTTATTCTGACGGCCATTTTATATCCATTCACTTCTCAAGCGGCCATAGTAAATACCCAATCGCAGCGACTTCTACGGAATCAGGATCCTCGTGCAGCTGCAGCACAATTCAAAAGAGAATTTGAGGAGAAATATGGAACTATTCACCCTGATTTCTTTGAGGGTAGCTATGCACAGGTGCACACAAGTTAGAGTCTATCTTTAGAAAAGAGTCACTGAATGCTTAAAGAGTGAATGAATTAACGAATTACCTTTTCTTTTGAGAAATTGCGAGTTTCATGAGTCGTGTTTGATGTAATTGCTTTTGTCGATTTCATTTCAGGCTTTAGAACGCGCGAAACGTGAATTGCAATTTTTAATGGTGATTCTTCAAACCGACGAACATGACCACACGGCCAGATTCAACAAGTGAGAAAATCACACGTCAAATCCAAAATTTCTTGTTCATTAGTAATCCCTAATTTCTTATGTCCTCACATCTAGCGAGACTCTAACATCACAAGACTTGATAAGGTTTCTTCGCGATAATGATATTCTAGTGTGGGTCGGAAACATTAGAAATAAAGAGGCGTACATGGGTATGATTTACTCGCTAATAATCATTTGTTTTTCTTTGAGAATGAAACTAATTATTACTCTTATTGTTTAGTCAATAATAAATTAGAGGCTACCACGTATCCTTTTGTGGCCATTATTGTTCTCCAGACTAGCAACGGAATGAATGGGAAGATGGTCACTGTTGATCGAATCGAAGGTAAGTTTAGTTTAATTCTTGATACACAGATACACACGATGTTTCATCGTGAAGATTATTTATCGATATTTTCCCCATTGGAAAATCAAATTAAGGGTTGTCAACGCCGAATGTTTTGATTGACCGTCTTACTAATCAAATAAACCAACACAATCCTGGGCTTCAACATATTCGCCACGAACGTGCAGAACGAGATGCAGCACGACAAATACGCGAACAACAAGACACAGCATATCTCATGTCACTACAGGCCGATCAAGAAAAAGAACGGAAAGCACGTGAAGCAGCAGAAGCCGAGCGATTGAAACGTGAACATAAAAAAAGGAAAGAGGAAGAACGTAAGAATCTTGCAGGAAAGAAAGAATCGTGGCGACGATGGGCTTTAAGTCAATTGCCGATTGAACCTGCTCAAGTTCAAGATGATGTGGCTCAACTTGTGTTTAAATTACCGGATGGACAAAGAATAATGAGAAATTTCGATGGGAGTGACAGCATAGAGGTATTAAGACGAAATAGAGAATGAACATGATTGTGATATTAATTATTAATTCATGGTTGTATTTAAATGTTTAGACCGTTTACACTTTTGTGGATACTTATAATCTCCGAAAAGAATTATCGTCATTATCATCTGTTCCTCTTTCACCGCCAAGGAATTATGTCCATTCATTTGATTTTTTGTTAGTTTCTCCTTATCCTCGTACGGTGCATTATCCGGATAAAAACAAAACTATTAAAGAAGAGAGTGAACTTTGGACACGTGCTCAATTACTAGTCCAAAGAAATGTTGACGAATCCGAGGAAGAGTAATAAAAACATTCAAAAATGTCCAGATCACCATTTTTCTTCTTAAAAGATCGATGCATTAATCGGAACACAATGACGTTTATTAGGAAAGATGTTTGCCGAAAATAAAGAACACCGTTATAAATCGTCGATCATTAAATTGGCTTTAAGTGTGTGGTGATCCGGAGTAAATCCCCTTATACTGCAATCATTTGCACATGTAGTTGCATGTTTCCATACCTTCACATAAAAACCACGTGAAATATTATTCAAATCCTAAATGCTGCATTTTCATTGGCTTCATGCCTCCAATTTTAAGCGGTGGCGCAGTATTGGATGGCCTTTAGGCTGATGTCGCTTTTGCGAAAAAGACCATTACGGCAGTCAGCGAGTTTGCCGCTAATTCTTAAGTCTCACCACTTTTTATTAAGTTTCACTTTTCGCTTTGGGTGATTTTTGTCTTTATTGTTTAATTCAGTAATTAAGTGATTTTTCTAGTAAAGTAAAAACATTAACAAATTGAAAGGGGTATCGATATACCAATTTTACAATGAATTAAGCAACCCTCGGAAAAATTGGTAATGTCAAAGCTTAAGATACTTTTCTATGTGATACTAAGAAAAGGTGATCGGGGAATAAGCTATAGATAAGTTAATTTTAATTATTGCCGCATCAAACTATTTTATGCCGAAATTATACATAATAACGATATGGGCTCAATAAGTATATGGCAATAGGCTAGTTAACATAGCAATAGAAAATTAAAACTCTTCATAAATTACTAAATTAATCGATATCGATATGAATGCTAAATCCCCGAGATCAATTAAATTAATTCCGTGCAACGAATAAAAGGAAGGGGAAACCAGTTGCCTTTTACAATTGGTGATTACATTATTATATAAAAGATTGTTTCAAATAATGTGTTACAGAAAAATAGCCGTTTTGTTTCTTTTCCTCCTTTTTTTGGTCATTTCTGGTCATATTGTGTTGTTTGATCTCTATTTCACCAAAAAGAAACATACGATTTCTGTCAAAAAAATACAAAGGCACTAATACAAATAACGCGGCAATGTATCGTCATCGTAATTTTAAAATTATTTAATTATTTTTTTAACCGTATTTTTCACCTTCTTTACCTTTTTTTCGTTCCTTTTGTTTGCTTTCGCTGGCCGAGTTTATTTTTATATTAATTTTTTTCTTGCAACGGGTCGGTTTTTAACTGACACGACAATAATAAAAAAAACATTGTATAAATATATTTTTTTGTACTTTATAATTTAAAAAGCTTTTATTAGAATATATAAGTAAATCCTGCAACAAAATGAATCATAGACATACCTCGGGAACTCCGACGGTTTCTCCAACGCCAAGTTACAACCCATATTATAAAGATGTCGACAGTAATAGTAGTAGTCGTAATAATAGTGGAACAAGAAAAGATAAATATATGAGTGAATTTTCGGATATGGAAACTTATGTAGATAGTGCTGGATTTGGTGATAATATCTCGTTAGTTAACACATCAGGGATGAACTCTTTTTTGCCGCGTGAAGTCTTGTTACATCGAGCTGATTCCGCAAGAATATTGAATGGATTAGCTAGAGGTGATAGTGTAAAAAGATTTCCCCAACTTGATAAATTCGATTCAAAAGCTGCTGGAATAAACAATGATAATACTGGTGATGGAGCATTACAACCAATCACAAGATATCAAAAATTTCAAGCATGGATGATTAATGAAGGTTTGATACTACTATTCAATAATACGATTTAATGATTATTTATTCATTGAATATTAATTAAATTCTAAATATTATATACAGGAAATCGAGCAATATTCTTCACTGTTTGGATAATATTGCATCTATTAGTTTTTATTATGGGGTTCATTAATTTTTTCTTTAAGGATAATTTGCAGAACGCACGGGAAGTTTTCGGCATAACATTTCCTATTGCGCGATCTGCCGCATTGGTACTTCATGTGGACGCGGGAATGATTTTATTTCCTGTTTGTCGAAATTTAATCTCGCTGATTCGATCAACTCCTTTGAACAATGTTATTCCTTTTGACAAGAATATCACATTTCACAAAGCAATCGGTTATTCAATATTAATATTTACAATTATTCATACCGTGTCTCATTGGGTTAATTTCTATAAATTGACAATGGCAAACGGAGGCGGCATTATTATGTTTTTGAAATTGAATTTCGTGACTGGACCTGGAATAACCGGATATGTGATGCTATTTTGTTTATTAATCATGGTGATTTCATCACATGAAAAAGCACGTCATTCTCATTTCAATCGATTTTGGTACCTTCATCATCTTTTTATTCCATTCTTTGCCGCTTGGTCGTTCCACGGTGCATTCTGTATGATTAAACCAGATCGACCACCATACTGTAAAGATATCGCTTCATTTTGGAAATACTGGATTGCATCTGGCACCATTTACATCTCGGAACGTATTCTTCGTGAAATCCGAGCACGACAAAAAACTTACGTCTCGAAGGTTATCATGCATCCATCGAAAGTCGTGGAAATTCAAATTAAAAAAGAACATATTTCCACAAAAGCCGGACAATATATTTTCTTGTGCTGTCCGGAAGTTTCGTTATGGCAATGGCATCCATTCACGCTGACATCTGCACCCGAGGAAGACTTCATTTCTATTCATGTTCGTGTTGTTGGTGATTTCACTCGTGCTTTGGCGGAAAAGCTTGGATGTAATTTCGAGGAGGAAGAAAAAATTAAAAAAATAACAGCAAAAAATAGTAAAAATCACAATACACTTGCCAACAAACCTGGTTATTTGTCTGGAGTTTCTGGAATTGATATCTCTCCGAGGAATCCTGAAATACAAAAGGTTTTGCCGAGGGTTTTGATAGATGGACCCTTTGGTAGTGCTTCCGAAGATGTATTTAAATTTGAGATTGCGATGCTGGTTGGTGCAGGAATTGGTGTTACGCCATTCGCTAGTATTCTTAAAAGTATTTGGTAAGTGATATGATACTTATGATCTAATTAATAATAAAAATTATTAATTGACTATGATTTATAGGTACCGCGTCAATTATCCAACCAAATCAACCAAACTTCGTAAAGTTTATTTCTTTTGGATCTGTCGTGACTATGGTGTAAGAAAAATTATTTTTTATTCAAATTTTATCAATTTTATCTAATTGTTAATAAAATAACATATTAGGCACTTGAATGGTTCCAATCCCTTTTATCGGCCATCGAAGAACAAGATATCGAGCAATTCATCGAAATTCACGCTTACCTTACCGGTCGTCTACGTCATTCTGAAGTACGAAATGTGATGGTGCAAGATGACGGAGGTGAACGCGACGCCATCACCGGTCTTCGAGCACCAACACATTTCGGTCGTCCAAATTGGGACAAGATCTTTTCGAATCTACGTGCTAAACATCCCGCCACCGATATAGGCACGTTCTTTTGTGGACCGAAAGCACTGGGAAAACAACTTCACAATAAATGTAATTTGTGGACTCAAGGTTTCGAGGAGGGTACTAGATTTTTCTATGGAAAAGGTATTTTTTTCTATTTTTTGAAAAGAATGAAGGATATTCTCGTTGATTCATCCAGAATATTAATTTTATATTTTTTTGCATATCATTTATAGAAAACTTCTAGTATATGTACACATAACATAAAACTACTATTGAAAGTGGTTCACCATATAACGAGCATACACTCATGCATATATTTATGTGTCATATATTATAGTATGACATATAATCCAGTCATTACACAGTAACCCATTCATCATGATACCCATTTTTCTGGCTGGCTCCATATTATGGGAATATTCTGCAAACACACATAAACTGCACAAAATGTATTTTTTACCAATAAATTATTCTATTTATGATCAGCGAGGAAAAACGTTTGGATCAATGCGCTATGTGTATTCTTTATATAGAAATAACTTCTCTTGAGAGTGCCCTCGTTTCATGATTTACACATGTTAAATTCAAATCGAAGATTATGTCGATTTGGGCAATCCAAATATCGATTGGGTTTTGGTTCTAAATTCTGATTTCTATTTGGGATTATTTTAATACATGTATATTCTAGCTTGGACAATGGAATTACAGCCGTTGGGAAATATCGAAATACTAGTCACCTTAAAGAGTGGGCGAGAAACGAGTACGAGTACAACTTGGGCAAGTATCACACAAATCCAACTTGATGTATTACTTGCGTATTTTTCAGAAAATGTTTAACGTCTCAAAAAAGAATTATTTGAGTTTCACAAGTCGGCATATTGTTTTTTTTTATTTTTTCGTATCAATATCTCAGCAGCTATAATATTATTACATTCGGATATTTTTGCCTCCTTCATATGTATTTGTCAAAATATAAGCATACATTCTCTTCATCCCAGTTTCACCAACCAAATAACTTTAATGAGACAAAACAATCCACTATCTGTACATCAATCACCCCGTTTTTTGATTGTTTCGCCATCAGATATTTCAAGTACATGACTTTTCCTAGGATTACTGCAAGCATGTGTAAAAGTTTGATAATGAGCATCCAGAGAATGGAAAGACTTTTCTCCTTCTCTTGGAATAAGGCTAAAAACAGGTTTCGAAACTCTAATTTCGATCCAGAGCCCTCCTTACTACAGGTTCATAGTCGCTGTCGCCTGCTACTAAACAAAATGCACCAGGATCCATAGACCATATAGCATCCATTCCAGCAACCACAAGAGTTGAATCAACTTTCTTCTCCTTGCTTTCTACATTTCGATCGTATATAACCACTTCAAAACCTTGGCCTCTAACGTACTCCCACAACGAATCTGCTTCAGGTGGACGAGAGCCCATTATCATTGGATTGCCAGTCCATTCAATATTGTTAATAGAAGATGTCCGTAATCAATGTTGAGCTCATCGAGATATAGGGATTTTCTCTTAAGATCATAGATACCTGCTTTCTCAAGACGACCTACAGAATATTTGCCTTCAATGAGGAGGTTGAATTATCTAGGAAAACCGACACGTGCACAGCGAATGGTCTTGCAGTGCCGGCTACGAGAAAGAGAGCCTTTAGTATAAGTTATATAACTGCGAAGACGAGCATTCATTATGCTGACAATTTATTACGACCCACTTACCGGGTATTTCAGCAATAAGGTGGATATGATCTTCCAGTGGTTTGTCGGAAAATAGTAACTAATCTTTGTTCCAGGCATCTTAGACTCGTCATTTGTCTTCACGATCAGCTGGAACTTGAATTTTCCATCGCGTGATGTCCTTAGTGTCAACGTTAGCAAATTCATTAGAATTCCCTTCTTTGATAGTTTTCTTGAGGTCGCTAACATCATTACCCTTTTCAATAGTTATTTTGAAAGCGTTCTCAGGCTTTTCACCAAGTTTGTTGAAGTAATTAATTATCAGCCAATCAATATACGCCGATCGCTCTGATTGTCGTCGGATATTAATATTCTTAATATTTATTGGATATTTACAGTGGCAATCAAAAATAGTGCAATAACATCAAAATTTATTAATAAAACAGTATTTTTTCTCTTTATATAAAAGTTTTCAATTTTATTAATAAATAATTTTTATTTTTACATTAAATTGAAGACATATAATATATTTTAACATATATTTTTTTCAGATTTTTCAGATTTAATCTGATCAAGTTGTTCTAATTGCATATAAAGTTAATAATTTTTTTATTGATTTTAATTATAAAAAATTATTAACTTTATATGCAATTAGAACAACTTGATCAGATTAAATCTAAAAAATATATGTTAAAATATGTTACTATCTTCATTTTAATATAAAAATAAAAAATATTATTAGTAAAATTAAAAAATTTTATATCAAAAGAAAAATCTATATTTTATTATACTTTATTAATAAATTTTGATATTGTTATATTATTTTTAATTGTTATTATATGTATATTATTAATTAATATAACAAATATTTTAATATTTTTTAATAAATAATTTGGTATAAAAGTAATATTTTATCTTATAAGTAACAAGTAAAATTTATATTTAAGATTTGTTTTATATTTGAGTTTTAGATTTGAAATAATCTAATAAATTTGTTATTCTTATATTATATACTCGTATAAATTATTATAAAGTTAACAAAGATAGTAATAATAATAAAAAATATAATAATAAAAAAGTATTATTAATAAAATTATCTTAGATTTATAAATCTTATCATATATAATTTTTTTCAATAATAAACTTATTTTGTTTTATAAATTCTTTTACAACTTTGAGAAAAAAATCTTTTATTATATAAATACTGATAAAAAAACCAATATAATAATATTTTTATTGAATTATTTTTTTATTATTATTAGTATTGTTTTGCTTATATAATGATTTTGATACTTTTTTTGTATTACAGTCAAATCTTTCTATAGTCACACCTATTTATAATTACACTTTTTTTCAGAACTTTACTACTTTTAATATAATTATTATGCAAAATTTTAATATTTAAATTTGATAATAAATATT